GCAGTGCTAATGAGAAAAGTACTAAAAGGCAAATAGGCATGAGAAAAATCTAGAGTTTTGATTTTTGTTTGATAATATTTATTTATTTATTTGGAGACGGAGTCTGTCTCTGTCGCCCAGACTAGAGTGCGATTTCAGCTCACTGCAACCTCCACCTCCTGAGTTCAAGCAATTATCTCCCTGCCTCAGCCTCCCAAGTAGCTGGGATTACAGGTGCCTGTCACCACACATGGCTAACTTTTGTATTTTTTAGTAGAGATGGGTTTTCGCCATGTTGGCCAGGCTGGTCTCGAACTCCTGACCTCAAGTGATCCACCCGCCTCAGCCTCCCAAAGTGCTGGGATTACAGGCGTGAGCCACTTCGCCCGGCCTGATGACTTTTCTTTAAATGTTAAATTGGCTTTAAACAAAATGATTGCCTGGCAAGGTGGCTCATGCCTGTAATCCCAGCACTTTGGGAGGCTGAGGTGGGTGGATCACGAGGTCAGGAGTTTGAGACCAGCCTGACAAACATGGTGAAACCCCATCTCTGCTTACAAAAAAATAAAAAGCCTGGCATGGTGACATGCGCCTGTAAATCCCAACTGTTCAGGAGGGTGGGGCAGGAGAATCGCTTGAACCTGGGAGGCAGAGGTTGCAGTGGGTGGAGATTTTGCCACTGCACTCCAGCTTGGGCGACAGAGTGAGACTCCGTCTGAAAAAAAAAAGGGGGGGGCGGAGCTGAGCTGCCTGGGCAACATAAGGAGACTCCATCTCTCAAATAATAATAATAATAATAAAAGAAAAAAATAAAATTGCAGAGTGTGGTGGTACACAACTGTGGTCCTAGCTACTAGGGAGGCAGAAGTGCAGTGGCACAATTTCGGCTCACCACAACCACCTCCACCTCCCAGGTTCAAGTGATTCTCCCGCCTCAGCCTCCCAAGTAACTTGGATTACAGGCATGCACCATCACACCAGGCTAATTTTGTATTTTTTGAAGAGAGGGGGTTTCTCCATGTTGGTCAGGCTGGTCTTGACTCCCGACCTCAGGTGATCCGCCCATCTCAGCCTCCCAAAGTGCTGGGATTACAGGTGTGAGCCACCGTGCCCAGCCGTTTTTTTTTTTTTTTTTTAAAGGGGGGCTGGTATCAAGGGTGCAAATAGGCTGTCCCACACCTTCCTCTCCATTAAATCTGAATTGATATTGTAGTTGGCAACCCTAGGTGGGGCCTAAACAACACACATTTGATCTGTCTTTTGTGTCCATCACTGCACAATTCCCACTTCCAAATCTGCCCACTGTTCATTTCTCCCTATCCAAATGCCCAGGCCTTCAGACCAAAGTCATTTTCTGGAATATTCTTGGCAGAGACTTGGGCCTCAAGTGCTTGTGCTCAAGGGTTTTATAGGAACTCACTGAGCCCACACTTGGCCATTCGTCACTGTTGTGATTTCCCTGATGCTCCGAGCCCTCCTCGACATCCCCTAGGAGCCAGTCTCAGACCCGTGCCTGTGCCCGCTGCTGGCTGGCATCTCCCACAAGGAGCCCAAGACTGGCCTCATATTGGCCAATTGACCTGGGCACAGCAAACTTCTCCTGGCAGATAAATCTCAGAAACATAAAGCTAAGGAAAAAAAAGCAGAAGGCTCTGCAGGGCACTGTGCCGTTAGCACAGTTTTGAAACCACGCAGAACCGCACTGTATATTGTTTATGGACACCGACAGATGGAGCAGAGTACAAAGCTGTGCATGCGAACGAGGCACCCGTGTTCCCACAGTGGCTCCTTTAGGGTGGCGGAGAAGAAACTGGGAGGGGAATGAGAGGGATTTCTTTTTCTTTTTTTTTTTTTTTGAGACAGAGTCTCGCGGTGTCGCCCAGGCTGGAGTGCAGTGGCACAATCTCAGCTCACTGCGACCTCCACCTCCCAGGTTCAAGCAATTCTCCTGCCGCAGCCTCCTGAGTAGCTGGGACTACAGAAGCCAGCACCACCAAGCCCGGCTCAGTTTTGTATTTTTAGTAGAGACGGGTTTGGAGCCGGTCTCGAACTCCTGGTTTCAAGTGACCCACCAGCCTTGGCCTCCCAGAGTGCTGGGATTACAGGTGTGAGCCACTACACCTGGCCCAAGAGGGATTTAATTTTTTTTTTTTTGAGACAGAGTCTCACTCTGTCACCCAGGCTGGTGTGCAGTGATACCATCTTGGCTCACTGCAACCTCCACCTTTCAGGCTCAAGTGATCCTCCTGCCTCAGCCTCCCAAATAGCTGGCATTATAGGCACGTGCTACCACTCCTAATTTTTGTAATTTTAGGAGAGATGGGGTTTTGCCATATTGGCCAGGTTGGTCTTGAACTCCTGACCTCGTGTTTGGCTGAGAGGGATTTCAATATTTGGAATGTTTTACTTCTTTGGCTGATGTTTGTAACAATATCAAAACTGTGTGAATGTCTAAAATGACTCATTAAAAAAAAAAAAAAAAAGCCAGCTTAGCATTGTGGCTCATGCCTGTATCCCAGCACTTTGGGAGTGGGAGGCTGAGGTGGGTGGATTGGTTGAGGCCAGGAGTTTGATACCAGCCTGGCCAATATGGTGAAACCCCTGTATCTACAAAAATACAAAGCTTAGCCAGGAGTGGTGGCACATGCCTGTGGTCCCAGCTACTTGGGAGGCTGAGGTGAGAGGACTGCTTGAGCCCAGAGGTCGAGGCTGCAGTGAGCCAAGGGCAATCCTTCACTGTAGCCTGGGTGACAGAGCCAGACCCTGTCTCAAAAAAAGAAAGAAAGAAAGAAAGAGAGAGAGAGAGAGAGAGAGAAAGAAAGAAGGAAAGAAAGAAAGGAAGGAAGGAAAGAAAGAGAAAGAAAGAGAAAGAAAGAAAGAAGAAAAGGAAAAAGAGAAAAGAAAAAGGAAAAACAAAATTGCCTCTCTCTCTACAGATAAACCCGGGATATTAGCTAAAAGTGTCAATTGCCTGAATCCTCTTCCCTGGGGAGAGGAGGTCTGGGGAAGGGGTCTCTGTCCCTCGCAAATGTCCCAGCAATTCACACCCTGGGCCAGGTTGGCGGGTTGACAATCATTTTCTTTCTAGCCTTTCTTCCTCAATGTGTGATTGTACCTTAAAAATATTTTGCTAAACATACGGACGCCCAGAAGCCCACCCCGGACGTTCTGATTCAGGCTGTTTGGTGAGGGGGCGCTGGGCCCCTGCACTTCACAAGCTCGGCACCGATTCTAACGCGCGCTGATGTCTGAGGGTGACCCCTAGCCAGGGGCTCCGCCGCGCTGCCAGCGTTAGTCCAGGACCCCCGTGGGAGGCCAAGTCATGATTTTACGCAAAGCGCGTTGGGGTTTTCAACACCTCCGCAGCCTCTCTGGGTGCTGGGCGCCTGCCCCGGGGCCCTGCCGTTGCTGCTCCCTGGCCCAGGTCTGCAGCCCCTGGGGAGGCCCCGACAGCCGCGAGCCTGGGGCCTGGAATGCAGCCCGCCCAGGCCGCACCCTGCCCAAACCAGTTTGAACCAGCTGCAGGGATGGAGCCGTGGCGCGTCCCCACGAGCTCCCTCTGGTGCCCAAGCCGGGCTCAGAGCTGCTGCTCCCGCCTCCTGCTCTGGAGGCCTCCTCGGGTGCAGGCAGTGGCTCCATCCCAGCCTGGGGGATTGGGGGTGCCGGTGGTTGCCAGACCCGAAGGCCCCTGGGAGCCGCAGCCCCCGTCGGGTCCCACACCCTTCTGCCCCGACGCCATCTGCTTCACCTCTAGCTACAAAATGACTGCTTGACGGTGTCTTTTCAAAGCCAGTTCTCCCAGCGCAGACCTCAGGCACACAAAGTTCTAGACTAGACAGTTCCCAGACGTGGCTGCACACTGAAAACTCCTGGGAAACTTCCAGAAAATACTGATGCCCAGACCCCACCCCCAGAGGCTGTGATTTAATTGGTCTTGGGTGTGGCCGGGACTCACACCTGTAATCCCAGCACTTTGGGAGGCCGAGGTGGGTGGATCACCTGAGGTCAGGGGTTCGAGACCAACCTGACCAACTTAGAGAAACCCCTGTCTCTAGTAAAAATACAAAATTAGCCAGCCGTGGTGGCACATGCCTGTAATCCCTCCTACTGAGGCAGGAGAATGGCGGAGGTTGCGGTGAGCCGAGATGGCGACGTTGCACTCCAGCCTGGGCAACAAGGGCGAAATTCCGTCTCATCAAACAAACAAGCACACACACACACACAGTGCCCCTAGGTGATTCCAGTTTGCACTGTTCAGCACTGACATAGCTTTGTCTGGGACCTCTGATCTGTAAAATGTGTCCGGAGCCCTTACTACCTACCAGGCATTGTTCTAAGCTCTTGACATAGATGCCCTCACTGGATCTCCACCACACCCTGTGAGGCAAGTAGGTCCTGCGATGATCCCCATAGCCTAGATAAAGAACACGAGACTGGCAGCAGCTCACCCCTGTAATCCCAACACTGTGGGAGGCTGAGGCTGGAGAATTGCTTGAGACCAGGAGTTCAAGACCAGCCTGAGCACCTCTCTCTGCAAAAACTAAATAAAAAGTGAAGTTGCTCTCCTGCTTAATGTCTGTTTCCCCACTAGTGAAGTAATTTCAAGCACATCCCATTTTTATAAAAGCATGGTGGAAACCAGGTATTGGCCAGGCACAGTGGCTCATGCCTGTAATCCCAGCACTTTGGGAGGCTGAGGCGGGTGGATTGCTTGAGGTCAGGAGTTTGGGACCAGCCTGGCCAACATGGTGAAACGCTGTCTCTAGTAAAAGTACAAGAATTAGCTGGGCCGTAGTGGCACATGCCTGTAATCCCAGCTACTCGGGAGGCTGAGGCAGGAGAATTGCTGGAACCCAGGAGGTGGAGGTTGCAGTGAGCTGAAATCGTGCCACTGCACTCCAGTCTGAGCAAGAAAGTAAGATGCTGTCTCAAAAATAAAGAAATTAAAAAAAAAAAAAAAGCCCAACACCACCACCAACAATAAAAACCCAGGTATTAAAAAACATTTTTGGGGGGGCTGTGCGAGGGGCGGGGCTGCGGGCGGCCCAGGAGCGCGGCGCTAATGGCGGGGCCGGTGAAGGACCGCGAGGCCTTCCGGAGGCTCAGCTTCTTGTACCAGGCCGCGCATTGTGTCCTTGCCCAGGACCCCGAGAACCAGGCGCTGGCAAGATTTTACTGCCACACGGAGAGGACCATCGCGAAGCGGCTCGTCTTGCGGCGGGACCCTTCGGTGAAGAGGACTCTCTGTCGAGGCTGTTCTTCCCTCCTCGTGCCCGGCCTCACCTGCACCCAGCGCCAGAGACATTCTAAACTACTACAGCCCTTGCCAAACACAGCCCACCCCATTCCAACCCACCTTCCTGAGGAGAAAATGCCGACTCAAGGTTCCAGTCACCAGTGATGGATTCACCCCAGCTCCCAAATATAGTTTACATGTTTTACGTTCAAAAAAAAAAAAAAAAAAAAAAAACATTTTTGGCCACCCAAGGCGGATGGGTCACTTGAGGTCAGGAGTTCGAGACTAGCCTAGGCAACATGATGAAATCCTGTCTTCACAAAAATTAGCCGGGTATGATGGCATGCACCTGTAGTTCCCGCTACTCAGGAGACTGAGGGAAGAGGATCACCTGAGCCAGGGACACTGAAGCTGCAGTGAGCCGTGATCACACCACTGCACTCCATCCTGGGCAACAGAGCGGGACCACCATCTCAAAAAAAAGAAAGAAAAAAAACATTTTTATGTCATAATTTTGAAATTTTCACTACAGTAACAGGAAACAGCAATAGCAACTTCCCATTCTCTCCCTAATAAGGAAAGCTTCTAAGTCTCTGCAGTCATTTGAGAGTTTTTATCTACTTCTTTCCCTTCCACAGGGTCTTGTAGCTTTAGAGGTAAGAAGCCAAAGGGCGGTTCCAAGTGCTCCCTGGGTGTTGCGTTCGGCCTCACGACAGAGCTTCCCGGGCCTTGAGAAGTGAGAGGAGAGTCACCTACTTGGAGGACAAAGGAATGTTCTCCCAGCTACCGAAATTGTGTCCCTACTTGTTTTCTCTGCCTCTATCTAAACATTAAGTGGCAGAAACTACTGGCCGATGCAAGGACGTCAGAGGTCCCCTGAAGTGCGAGTTTCAGTGCTGTCCGTGGATTGTCATTCACTGCTCTCAGCCACCCCTGAGTGTTACAGGCGTTATCCCTCATCCCAAACTGCTGGGGCCAGATGTGTTTCAGAATAGGAACTCTTTGGATTCTTGAAGACTAACACAAAGCACATATTGCATATTTGATAAGAAGTCCCAGGGGAGGGCCGGGCACGGTGGCTCACACCTGTAATCCCAGCACTTTGGGAGGCTGAAGCAGGTGGATCCTGAGATCAGGAGTTTGAGACCAGCCTGGCCAACATGGTGAAATCCTGTCTCTACTAAAAATACAAAAATTAGCCAGGTGTGGTGGCAGGCGCCTGTAATCCCAGCTACTCGGGAGGCTGAGGCAGGAGAATCGCTTGAACCTGGAAGGCAGAGATTGCAGTGAGTCGAGACTGTGCCATTGTACTCCAGCCTGGGTGACAGACCAAGGCTCTGTCTCAAAAAAAAAAACAACAAAAAAACCCTAAAAAACAAAAACACACAGACACACACACACACAGACACACACACACACACACACACACACACACACACACGAAGTCCCAGGGAAGCTGGGGCAGCATCCTCTTATCTAAGCATATTTCTCAGCAAATGTGTGGATGTTCACCTTAAATGAGCTAAACAGAGGCCTTAAGTAACCTCCTGTCTGCTCACCTCAGTGACTTTATGCCAAACTGATGGGAAAGAAAGCTAATGGTTTTGGCGTTTCCTGGATTTCAAATTTATAAAAAAGGAATTGACTTGTTTTCCAGCCCTACAGCTGGAGAAACTGAGGCCCCCGCACATAACCATTAAGTGGAGCCGTCGAGCTTTGCACCTATTATATCACACGGAGATAGATCCGAACCTGTCAGAAAATTGCTAAATACCCTAGGATAAAAACTGTATTCTTTTTTTTTTTTTGAGACAGAGTTTCACTCTTGTTACCCAGGCTGGAGTGCAATGGCGTGATCTGGGCTCACCGCAACCTCTGCCTCCTGGGTTCAGGCAATTCTCCTGCCTCAACCTCCTGAGTAGCTGGGATTACAGGCACGCGCCACCATGCCCAGCTAATGTTTTTGTATTTTTAGTAGAGACAGGGTTTCACCATGTTGACCAGGATGGTCTCGATCTCTTGACCTCGTGATCCACCCGCCTCGGCCTCCCACAGTGCTGGGATTACAGGCGTGCGCCACCGCGCCCGGCCTAAAACCGTATTCTTTAGACTGTTTGAGATATATTTGTTTTCTTGTCTCAGAAACTTGCGTTTCTGCTCATTAAGATTCTAAGAACTTCTCTCTTCTTTCATTAAGATTTTTTTTTTTTTTAATAAGATGGGATTTCATCATGTTGGCCAGACTGGTCTAGAACTCCTGACTTCATGTGATCCACCTGCTAGGCCTCCCAAAGTGCTGGGATTACAGGCATGAGCCACTACACTAGTCTTCCATTAAGAGTCTGAGGACTTCTCTCTTTTCTTTCTTTCTTTCTTTCTTTCTTTTTCTTTCTTTCTTTCTCTCTTTTCTTATTTCTTTCTTTTTCCCCTTGCTTCCTTCTTTTCTTCCATCCTTCCCTATCTCCCTCCCTCCTTCTTTTCTTCCTCCCTCCTTCCCTCCTTCCTTCCTTTCCTTCCCTCTCTCTTTCCTTTTTTTTTTTTTTTCAGATGTCACTCTTTCATACAGGCTGGAGGAGTGCAATGGCACAATCTCAGCTCACAGAAACCTCTGCCTCCCAGGTTCAAGCAATTCTCCTGCCTCAGCCTCCGAAATAGGTGGAACTACAGGCTCACTCCACCAGACCTGGCTAATTTTTTTTTTTTTTGTATGTTAGTAGAGACAGGGTTTCACTGTGTTGCCCAGGCTGGTCTAGAACTCCTGAGCTCAGCTGGGCACGGTGGCATGTGCCTGTAGTCCCAGCTACGCAGGAGGCTGAAGTGGGAGGATCGTTTGAGCCCAGGAGTTCTGGGCTGTAGTGTGCTATGCCGATCAGGTGTCCGCCCTAACTTCAGCATCCGTACCATGACCTGCCGGAAGCGGGGGACCAACAGGTTGCCTAAGGAGGGGTGAACCAGCCCAGGATGGAAATGGAGCCGGTCAAAACTCCCATGCTGATCAGTACTGGGTTCGCACCTGTGAATAGACTCCAGCCTGGGCAACATAGCAAGACCCTGTCTCAAAAAAAAAAGAACTGGCCAGGCGCGGTGGCTCACGCCTGTAATCCCAGCACTTTGCAAGGCCGAGGCAAGTGGATCATGAGGTCAACAGATCGAGATCATCCTGGACAACATGGTGAAACCCCGTCTATACTAAAAAATACAGGAGCCAAAAATATATATATATACAAAATTTAGCTGGGCATGGTGGCTCGCGCCTGTAGTCCCAGCTATTTGGGAGGCTGAGGCAGAAGAACTGTTTGAACCCAGGAGACGGAGATTGCAGTTAGCCAAGATTGTGCCACTGCTCTCCAGCCTGGCACCTGGCAACAGAGCAAGACTCTGTCTCAGAAAAAAAAAAAAAAAAAAAAAAAAAAGAACTCCTGAGCTCAGACAATCCAACTGCCTCAGTATCCCAAAGTGCTGGCCTCAGCCTCCCAAAGTGTTGGGATTACAGGCGTGAGCCACTGTGCCTCGTCTTTTTCTTTTTTCTTTTCTTTTCTTGCCTTGACAGGGTCTCACTCTCTATGGCCCGGGCTGGAGTGCAGTGGCACTGATCTGGGCTCACTGCAGCCTCGACCTCCTGGGCTCAAACAGTCCTTCCACCTCAGCCTCCCAGCTAATTTTTGTAAATTTTGTAGAAACGGGCTTTCAGCATGTTGTCCAGGCTGGTCTCGAACTCCTGAGCTCAAGCCATCCTCCCACCGCAGCCTCCTAAAGTGCTGGGATTACAGGCATGACCCACCGTGCCCAGCCACAAAGGACTTTTTCCATCTTTGGAGTCCATGGTACGGCATTGGGTGTGCTTTATAAATGAAACGGTGCTCTATAAGAAACCTGCAGTCATATCAATAACATAAATAGGTGAGCGGGGCCTCGGGTTGTAACAATGGCCAAAAACAACCACATTAAAAAATGTAGGAAAAAAATTTTTTTTTTTTTTTTTGAGACGGAGTTTCACTCATATTACCCAGGCTGGAGTGCAATGGCGCGATCTCGGCTCACCGCAACCTCCGCCTCCTGGGTTCAGGCAATTCTCCTGCCTCAGCCTCCTGAGTAGCTGGGATTACAGGCACGCACCACCATGCCCAGCTAATTTTTTGTATTTTTGGTAGAGACGGGGTTTCACCATGTTGACCAGGATGGTCTCGATCTCTTGACCTTGTGATCCACCCGCCTCGGCCTCCCAAAGTGCTGGGATTACAGGCTTGAGCCACCGCGCCTGGCCGGAAAAAATTTTTTAATGCTTTTACCTTAATGAGGATGTGGGAAATCTTGTTTTCAGCAGTTCACGTGACAAACACAGCTCTTTTGTTTTTGTTTTTGTTTTTTTGACATGGAGTTTCGCTCTTGTTGCCCAGGCTGGAAGTGCAATGGTGAGATCTTGGTTCACCACAACCTCTGCTTCTCAGGTTCAAGCGATTCTCCTGCCTCAGCCTCCCGAGTAGCTGGGATTACAGGCATGCACCACCCTGCCCGGTTAATTTTGTGTTTTATTTCAAAATTAAAATACTTAAATTGAACTCAGAGTCCATTTAAAAGATCTGACTTAAATTGAACTCAGAGTCCATTTAAAAGACCTGTGTTTGTGGCCAGGCTTGGTGGCTCACACCTGTAATCCTAGCACTTTGGGAGGTCGAGGCAGGTGGATCACTTGAGGCCAGTAGTTTGAGACCAGCGTGGCCAACATGGAGAAATCCTGTCTCTACTAAAAAATACAAAAATTAGTCGAGCATGGTGGTGGGTGCCTGTAATCTCAGCTACTCGGGAGGCCGAGGCCCAAGAATTGCTTGAACCTGGGAGGGAAGGTTGCAGTGAGCCGAGATCTTGCCACCGCATTCCAGGCTGGGTGATAGAGCAAGACCCTGTCGAAAAAAAAAAAAAGAAAGAAAAAGAAATTCAGTAAGAAGAATCTCATTATGCGCACTGCTTCAAACAGTGGTAAAGAGTAAGCACTCAATAAATACTACATTTTAAGTGGAATTTCGACAAACTAGAACGTTTTCAAGGAAGGGCAAAGAGGACAGCCAGATAAATAAGACAGCAGGTGACACTACCAGGCAAGGTATCTGTCACTGTTAAATCAAGATTAGCCTAAAGCTGTCTCCTTACGTATTTTAAGTTTAGCTTAAAGGTTTCTCTGTACATCGTGAACTATAACAAGTGGAGGTGTCAACTGGGTGTGGTAGCG